CCCCCCCCCCATATCCTCCCAGATTGTCCAGAGAGTGTATGTGAGACAAAAGCCCTTTAGAAATAGAAGCGCTATGGTACGTAAATACCTAGGTATTAGTAATACAGCCAATAATTAACTCCTAACTTTTTGTAAGTAAATCATCCCAACACAGCAACGACCAAAGTGCTAGAAACAAGGCAGGCAAACATAAACCTTACCAAGTAAGGTGCACACATCTAACTCTATCTAACCACAGTCTAAAAGCAAGTACAGGGGCACCCGGGTGGCTCAGTTAAGCGTCCGACCCTTGATACCGGCTCAGATCGTGATCTCACTGTCATGAGATCGAACCCCACGTCGGGCAGAGCCTGCTTGGGAGTCTCTCTCCGCCCCTCCCCCACTCGCATGCCCCTGCTGGCGCGCTATCTCAAATATCTTTTAAAAAATGAAAAAAAAAACCCATAAAAAATAAAAGAAGTATAAACCATTTGGGGTTAACATTATTTATTCTTTTTTTACCCTTATCATTGATACAGATGATCACAAGGTGACTATATTAAACTGTGCTCTGCTTGCTAGTCCAAAGTGCTCTGCTCTACCCTGGCTGGTCCAACTAATCATCATTAAACAGTGAGAGGAGAAGTCATCCCTTAAGCTAAATCCTAAGCTCCACGAGGACAAGGCCTCTGTTTTTCAAAGATGCATCCCTGAAGCACCTGGGTGGCTCAGTCGGTTAAGCGTCCAACTCTTGATTTCGGTTTCAGGTCGTGATCTCACGGTTCGCAAATGAGCCCTAAGTCGGGCTCTGCGCTGCCAGCGCGGAGCCTGCTTGGGATCCTCTTTCTCCCCCTCTCTCTGCCCCTACCCTGCTAGCGCTCTCGCTCTCTCAAAATAAATAAACGTAAAAAAAAAAAACACATCCCTAACACCTCCTACAACACAGGAGGCAATTCAGTAAGAACGGGGGAAATGAATGGGTAGGGTGGGTAAACTCAGGGCCTAAAAAGGGAACGAAGCAATTGTTTGTGAACTGATTGCTGCCTGGTGGAAAACAGGGTGCGATCTAGCTCTATTACCAGTCCCCCTCTCTCCCTGGACGAATACGATCGAGGCTGATGCGATTTTCTTCCCTTCCACTACTCCAGGACCAAGAGAAGCAGGAAAAAAGGCAAAGAAAGGTACTCTGAAGATTTCAAACAAGTTCTGAGAGAATGATGCCGTTACGAGAGGTGACAAGCTTACCTGAGCTAATAAGGGTCTGGCTGGGAGCAGGTGTAGCTGTCCGTGTCAGGTTCATGCCCACGTTCTGCTGACCAGCCCCATCTGCTTCTGCCTTCTTGGCCGCTGCACTTTCTGCTTCCGTCTGGCTTCCCTGACTCACAGTCACTGTCTGGGCTGCAGGCAAGGGCTGCACCACTCCTGTGCCCTTCCTGGGACAGCTCCCACCACCACCCATTCCTGAGGAAGGCAACTGACCCAAGCCCCCAGGTGCCTGGCCACCTCCACCTGGACCCATGGACCCTGGGATGCTACTTCCGCTGCCTCCACCAGCTTGACTGAGGTTCAGGGACTGGCCTGAAGCCCCAGAGGATGCCTGAGCCACAGCTAGGGCCTGGCTAGAGGCCTGGGAGAGGCTAGACACAGGGGAGGCTCCAGGAGGAACGGCCTTCTGAGTAGAGCCTTGCATTTGGGGTCCTTGGGCCGAGGCCTGTTGGTTCCTCACTGCCAAATTCTGCACCTGAAAGATAAGAAGAAAGAGATATACTGAAAAGGGGGGAACAGGAGGGACTAAGGTCAAGATTTCTATGATGATTCAGTAGCAGTGAGGATAGCCACCGATATTCCCCAGCCCCCCTCAAAACTCATACCCCCCACCTTGTCAATTACATACACGAAAGTCCTTCCAGTCACTCCGGGAGGGACTCGAATCACATTTGATTTTCGGTTTCCTTCATCCACTATCAAACCCATCAGCAAGTTCACTCATTTATTCCTTCAAAATGTCTCAGATTTTCCCTTTGCTCTCCATTCATTCCTTCAACATCTACCAAATACCTACTATGCTTCAGGTACTACGTTGGATACTGGAAACGCAGGGACGAAAGACACACGATCCCTCCTCTTAATGAGTACTTTCCACCAGAAAAGACCAGAAAATCACCAGTAGCCATAGGATACTATGCAGAGATATGCACAAACTGCCATGGGAACACAGAGGAGGAAGACTGAGTCAGACCAGGGAGATCAGAGAAGACTTCCTAAAACAGTCTTTTGTTTGACCTGAGACTCGACAGGTAAGAGTGAAGGCAGAGGTTTGAAGATATAGGTAACAACATCTGGAAAACCATCAAGCCAAGAAAGAGCACAGCATTTCTGGAAATTATAAATATTACGTTATGTGCAGGGGGAGTTAGAGGGAGTGACAAGAAACGAAGCTAGGAAGGTAGGCTCAGGCTGGCGAGGTAGAAAGGTATCAGATCATGAAGGGCTTGGTATATTAAAATTAGGAGAGTCTGAACTTCGGTTCGCAAACAAAGTTGATCTGTCTCCTCCACTGTTCCATTTCTAGCACATGGCACAGTGCCTGACATAGTAAGTACTCCAAAGGGAGGAATGATGAGCGCCTAACAGATTACAGGAAGCCATTGAAGAGTATTAAGCAGAACACACAGACACAAATCTACTGTTGAAACCATTCTTTTAAATGGTGCCGACATGGGGCACCTGGGTGGCTCATTCGGTTGAGCGTCCGACTTCGGC